GAAAGAGTGAGTTTGTTCTAAGCAAGCAGTCACACTCCCAGGCTACTCTTTTCATCATTATTGTTGTTTTAAAATTGGATTTTCTTCAGTTTAGGAGTTACTCCTTTTCACCTTTTACTTCAAGAAAGCGTGTGAAAGACATTTGACACACACTTCACATGTCCTGCTATACATTCGAGTGTTTCCTGAGAGGGCTCTAAATTACTGTGCAGGAATTAGCCTGACATCAACAACAGAAAGTGTAATGCCCTGAACAAAAGTGAAAAGTAATTCTCCGTTTTTCTCGGGCGCAGTCATCTAAGAACAGCAGAGGAAAATGTTACTTTTATTGCTGCATCACAGTACTGCAATTGAGCACTTCTTCATCACACATCACTCTCAAGTGGTAGATTTCTTTTCCCCATTTGATAGTGACTGGAAACAATTTTCAAGAAAGAAAAATTAATTAATATAGAATGCTTGGTCCTGTTGGTTCAGATGAAAGGGTCAGATTCTTATTTGGTAGAAATTGATAGAGCTGTCATAGAGTCAATATAAACCAGCTTTGGGTCTGGCATTTAAAATTTAGCTCAGAGGGGTCCTTTCCTAAGGCTGCAAAAAATCTCACAAAACAATTCTCTTTGTATTTAGAAATAATGCTCCAAAAAAATTGCTTGGACCACATTCACAACCAAAATACTCAGTCACACACAAATAAAGCATGGTACTTCTAGTAAGAAGTCAATAGTTTTTCCAGGCCTATTTGTAAAATCATGCCTACTAACTCAGAAACTCCCACTCTCTCTCCCCCCTAAACATTTGAGAATGCGACAAAAAGGAAGGGGAACAACCCAGTCTGTTTCTATTATAGACAAATGAAAAAACAGTTGGGTTCTACTTTACACACTGATTTCATAATGTGCTTGTTTGAAAGCCCACAAATTGTTTAGTAAATACAACTAATTTCTGGAAAATCAAAATACCACCTCTGATTCCTGAGGCACTCTGGAAAAAACAGTGAGGAGACAATATATCCACATTAAGCATACTAAAAAATAAGGGTCTTTGTCTTTCACATTATCAGATAAACAATTTTGCATTAAAGATATTTTTTTTCATGTGGGTTAAAAGAATTTAAAATGCATGTAATCTGAAACTAAGTAATCAACTACAATCCGGTAGGCAAACATTCCACTCTTTTTTGCTCTCCCTCTCTTTTTCTGCTAACAAGCCACCCAGTTTTACTTTCTTGCCTCCTCCCATTCACTCCACCCTGCAGATCTCTGCCAAGTCAGTCCAACTTGTCCAAACAGGACACGTCTTTTGATAAGATTTTGCTCACACCCTGTACTTCAGAAAGACAAATGAAGCAATTGGTTTTTTGTATGCAAATAAGGACAGGTGCAAGGTAAAGTCCAGGCAAAGTCCCTCGGTGTTTTTTAATCTGAAGTCCAGTGGGGACAGCAAACCAGAAAAGCTACAAACTCTGCCCTTATGATCCAATATGCAGCAAAGTATCCCTTCCAGAAAGGAAGTTCATCATCAGTAGAGCTCATCGCCTTGTCAGGATTGAAGACTTCTCAATATTAACTTCCTGACAAGTATGGCTTAGTGTTTCAGAGACATAATTAAGAGTAAATGAAAACTTAAAGGCACCTAGTGTGTATTCTGACAACAAGGACTTGTACAGATTATTTACCCTGGATGAAATGAGCAAACTGGTTCAAGAATGCACCCAGACTCCACATCTGCACTGCAAAGCAGCTGGATAAGAGCCACCACACTGCAGCTACTCCCAGCAGCTCTGTGCATCTACGTTCAAGGTCCACCAACTCTGCAGACCTGTGATGAAAGGAAAGGGTGGGGTGGAGGGCCAGTTTTGACTCTCAACATCCAACAACTACAAAGCCTCCCTTTAACATAGTGCCTTTGCTCTCTTTAAATACCTGGAAAAGCAGCCAGTGACCTGACAGATCCTCTTGCTGTGGACAGTGGGGTGGTGACCATAAATTCTGCTGCTCTTCTCCCTGCCTGAAAGCATGCACGGGGTTTGCTTTCTCAATCTTCATGCCTGGGGGAAGCAACGAATGCTGCCTGTGGTACAGTGAGGCTTTGTCTAAAGCTTCAAGGTATGATTGTTACTGTTGGTATAATTACAGAACAATGTAATGATATCTGCTAAAGGAGTGCTACACGAGTGCCCTTTGCAAAGACACTGCAGCTCTTCCAGCCAACATAAGTCATGTGGCCAAAGCTCTTCAGTCCGAGCCCTTTGGGATTTGTACTGTTGCTCTGAAACTATTACTTCTTCTGTGAGCCTCAAGTCAGACTTCCCCTGATACTAAGGAGAAGTGATAATATCAGAAGACTAATGAAATGTAAAGGGTGGGGAGGTTTTCTGAACCTGGGTGAGAATTCTCCCTCAGTGGAACCTTGAAAGAGAGTTTGACAGAGAAAAAACAAGTTTGAAAGCAGGATTCCCCAGAAAAGGTAGAAAATGTGTTTTTCAGGGCTAGTAACAAGATGTGTTTGCATTTACAGCACCAGTTGCTCTTCAAGACCTGAGTCTGCAAAAAAGTGCTTCTGAAGTTCCATTAATTTTAATGGGAAGTAAGCAAGTGCTTAACTGCACTGGGCCCCAAAATAGCAGCAGGCAAAGAAACTCTCCAGCTCAGCACAGCAGATTCACTCAAAGCAAGCAAGAGCAGGGGAAGGAGCGAGGGCCCAGATACGGTGCTGGGGGAAGGGACCGGAGCAGCCAGCCCACAGGGCTAGTATACCAAGAAAAGGTTTCACCAATCAACAGCCTTCTCTGTTTATTCACTAGATTTCCACTGGGAAATGGTAGAACTGTTGAAGAAGTTAGGATATTGCATAAAAAGAAAATGGGCAAAAATTTTCTGCTTAAAGTTTTACTTGATAGGCATGAAGAAAAACAGTATTTCCGTCGGATTTTGCTATTTAGTGTTTCAGACTATTTGTGCTTTTTACTGACTTGAAAATCTTTTACCATCTTCCTTTCAGAACTGCAAGCAGGCTGAAAAATTTGGTTTTTTGCACAGCTCGTGCATCCTAACTTTGATGATGTCACTTGGGTTGACCTAGAACTGCTTTGACACAATCATTTATCAGCCGTGTAGCACACTAATCAGTATTTCCATTAAATTCACAATAATACTGTTGCAGGCTACTTGAAGCCACATGTCTGGATATGGCTTTCTTTGATAAAAACTATGGGGAAAAATGTTCTTGCAGCACTCATTAGAAAGTATCTCCTCTACCAAGGAAAAATGGAACCCATGTAAACTCTGTTCAACCTTCAGTTCTACATTCACTGAACCTAAGGGAGAGAGAAAAGACCCTGAGGCACCTCCATTAGACAATATTCTCCCTTATCAGGGCAGACTGTTGTCTGGTTTCCTGTCTCAGGCTACTTCTCAGAAGGAGAAACAGTCTAGCAAGGATAAAAGATCAGACTTCTGAAAACAAGTGAAGTATGTGAAATGGTATGTGGAATGGTCTTTCCCTTCCAAACAGAACATTGTTTTTTTGTTGTGTTTTTCTTAAGAGGTTAATTTTGAAGATAATTTAAAAGGAGAAATATAAATTCTATATTTTTCTTATGAGGGAAGAACGACAGAAAATGCTGTTCTCTTACATAATGGGTTCTGCTATTTCATTAAACATATGAAACAGAGATTCAACATTTTTGATAGTATGGATAAGGAAAAAATCTAATCCTAAATAAAGTAAATGTACATTCATGAATAATAGTCTAAATGATTAATTTGAATGAGGATTTGCATATAGGGCAAATGTCGATGAACTTCTGTATACCTATGGAAGTGGAAAAAAGCCCCCAGACAAACAGGGAGAAGAGCTGGGCAGTGTAGTGGGTACAAACGAGACAGTGATCAAAGCAGCTTAGACCTGGAAGTGGAAAGTCTGTCATGCCTTCATGGATCAAGTTAGTTGTTGGTAACACACACTGACTGAATGATAGGCAGACCACGCGTTTGGGTTTTTTTTTTTCCCATTCTGACTTAGTTTACTATTAAAAACCTGTCAGGGCTTTATCTTTCCATTTGGCTGATCTACACTCAAACTTCCTTCCCCTGCGAGCTATCCACTACGGCTACAAAACCCTCAAAGGAAGCCTCAGCATCAAATGAATGCTAAACAGGGAAGGGTTAAATCCTCCAAGGGTTAAATAAATCCAGCTCTGCCAAACTTCATATTCCGGATTGGAAGCAACCAGCCTTGGAATGAAAACACAAAGCTTCATGGCTGACAGCATAAAATAACTCTAAGAGATCTCCTGTTAGCAATGTTAATTAATATTAAAAAGTTCGTTTACAAAACTATTATAATTTTAATCTCAGTCCCTGATTTTGTACAACTTCTGGCTACAAAAAGGTGTGACCCCCAAACTTTACTGAATATATCATAATAGTAAACACAGTTAAATGCAACATTTTTCCTCTGTCATGGGGAAAAAAAAGATTAAATATCCTTGAAATCCTGTGCAAATTAACAGTACCAGAATTAAGATACTTAATTAAGTTCTAATGGATAAACTCATCCATAGTATTCTAAAGTTAACAGAAAAACAACTAAATAAAAGCAGCTGAGAGTAACAAGCGAAAATAATCAATAAACTTACCAAGACTGTGTGGACAAATACTTCTTGTTATCCGGATTTCTGAACAGACAAAAAACAAGTTGATGTAAGGATGTGTACATAATTCAGTAAAAATTATTTTTCACATACAATTAAACCCTGAAAGAGGAAATTTAAAGCATGTATTTTGGATACTTCTTAAAAGATACCTGCAATGATCACAAACAGCTAACTTGTAGCAACAGCAGGAACTAAGAGATTACTTAAAAAGTGAGTAAAATAAAAAAGGTGTAAAATGAAAGGGTGGAAGTTATTTCTGTGTGTACAGAAACCATGCATATTCCAGCCCATAAATGACAGAGAAGAATAAACACTCCATCTTGCATTTTTCATCCAGGGCCCGATTCAGAGCCCAGTGAAGTTAATGCAAGTCTTTATTTCAATAAGCTTTGGCTTGGGTCCTTTAGATCTTCTCCAGTCAAATCCAAAGCAACAGAAAGATTTATGTTCTCTTTCTGAATTTCCTCTCTCTGTTTCTCCATGTCTGCCTGCAAAAGGGTGGGGGGTAGGATGAATATAAAAACAAGAGTAAAAAATTTGTTTTTATGCCTTCAAAAATGCATTATGTGGGACAGCCATACTCCCAAAGAAAAGTTAGCCAGCAGAGCCTCATTTTCTGTATCACATCTGGAAAACACGTGAATCCTCTAGTTTGTATAAGGAGAAAATATCTATTCCTTTTGAGATCTGGAAATGCAAAGTGCTTGCTTACAGTGGGCCATTCAGGTTGGGTAAGGGCAGAAGTCAAAACCCCCTCACAAGTATGAGCCTACAGATGTGGATTCTCTTCTCACACTCTTGTACACAAGTGTAACTCTGTGACTTTAATGGAGCTATTCCAGATAAGGCTGATGAGCAAGTGAGACCAGAAAACTGGTGTACAACTTTCTGGAGACCTGAATGCAAGTTTTTGGTGAAGGGAGTGAAATTTCACCCCCATAGCTACATTGGGAGTCGAGGGCATGCATTACAGGTTAACGCGGAAGCCTCGTTATGACATAACCCAGGCATCTTAAGCAATCGTGAGTGTGTAGAGCCATGATAACTCATCGGGTGGGGATTGGGAGTTGAGGGGCAGTAACAAGGGGCCTGGACGAGGCTACCGATCCGCCAGAAAACAGCCTGAAACAGGAAAGAGCACCACATATGCCACTTGGAATGTGTGACGCAAACCCCAGCCTTGAAACAAAGAACAGGAAACAGCTCTGCTGGCTGCACTGGGGAGAAAGCACAGAGAAACATTTAGGCGGCCCTCCCTGACCCCATATTCATGAGCAGCTGGAGTCTTTTAAAACAACAACAGTGGGTGGAGGTGTTTGTTCATTGGGCGTGAATAAAAACACTGTCCTTATGCAGGGGACCTGCCCTATTTACAAACAGGTTCCCTTAACATAAGGGAGCAGATTTCTAGACACCATGGGTCATCATGATTAGCTGAAACCTTCCCCAGGACCAGTGGCTTTATTACTGGATTTACAGAATGTCAGCAGCTACAAAGAGCTAGGCTTCATGGCATCAAACAGGCAGCACCCAGCTGAGCAGCAAGCACCTTCTTCGTAGGCAGAGCCATGGGGGTCATTGCAGGAGTGATCTGTAAAGCCAGGGGTTGCTCCTGGACAGCGTCTCACTTTTGTTCACTACTGCTCAATAGCTGAGGACCAAGACCACTCAGTGCACCCAAGAATATTCCTCTAAGCCGGCACATGCTGAGCCTTGTGCATCTCTGTTTCACATGCACTCAGACTTCATCTCAGGACCTGATTTTCCATGGATATACTACTTTTATTTTTGAAGTACCCAAATATAAAACTGAATAAACTGACAATGAGAGGCAGAGGAAAGGCACATCGTTTCTAGATGTCATGCAACAGACTAACTTCAACATTCATTTTCCTTCAAAGCCATGGTTTCAAATACTCTTCCTGCTCCTACACACTTTGCATTGGTTATTTATATACCATAGGTGGGACATCTAATATTATCCGACGTGAGAACATGGTACAGCATATTACGTGGATGAGTACCACAGTAACACTAATGACTGCTGTGGGGTTTCATGGCTGTCACCTCACGAGGTGACAACTGGCATGTACAGCATCATCACAGCAACATGTAGGTCTAGAGTTTATGCTGATAGTATCGGTTCCTTACTTTCTTCATACTGACTATCTGGAAACATAAGTAATTTAGTGGTTGTATAACTCTGATCTCTATTATCTCAGAGCTTTGACTAATCCCACTCGCATTTGCAGTATTATTCACCTGAAGACTTTTGCTTTTGGCTAAATAAGCGTCGCCTAGGTCAAACCCTCACAGTACCTAAGGGCTCCCTTGCAGCTCTGCTACTTAGCAGAAATTTTTCTCAGTTTCTTAGAGAATATCCCCCCTCCCCTTACTCCCAGTCTCCCTTGTGGTCTGTAACATATCTGTAATAGGGTGTGCAGCAGGAGGGGAAAAAAAAAAAAAGTATTTGCCTGCTTGGGAAAAAATAAGAAAGACCACTCAAGTCAACTTCAGATTTTCTGTATTTTGATACTAGACAAAATATGCTTAAAAATACAAGAGGAAAGTTAGTTTGAAATAAATCTCTTCTGGGTCAGGCAGGATTATCAAATCCAGATGTAATTCCTCTCACACAAGAAGTAGCTCCTCATGTGCTTATCAAGACAGTGTATCTTAAAAGTATTCTATGGAAAAGTAATTAGTGAGCAGCTGTGTAATCCTTTGTTTTCAATACAGGTAAAGAACATTTATAGATATTAGTTTAAATAAAGTCAAGTCTTCAAAGCTCTCCTATCGTCCACCCAAATTCAGGTTTTCTCAACAATAAAACCTTCAGAGCTCAGCTCCACAAATAGTGACACTTCCTGGATTTTCAAAGGCAAGGAAGCAAATATAACACAGCAGATAATGCAGGTACAATACCTGAATCACCAGGGAGCACAGAAAGCAACCTGAATGTATTTTTTTCATATAACTCTTGAACGATCATTTGAGCTACTCCGAAATGGGTCTTTCTCCCAACCTCCAGTTAGGTGTGGTGATCTCCCAGTGCGAGCTCCTGTCGCTGAACCTTCCTTCCCAGGGCTCCCCTAGTCGTGCCAGGCACTCAACTGACAAAAGCCCAAAGCAAATAACTCCTATTCCCATTTCGGCTTTAAAAAAAAAAATCCCAACAACGGCATCCAGAACAGAGAGGCTAATTACGGTCGTTATTTCTAACCCCACACTTAAGCGGTGCTCTCCTGGGCGCTACGCGTTTTAACTTCGTCTACATCACAGCTACGTGGTGCTAAGGGTAGATGACAGTACGACGGAGAAATTTCTGAGAGCCGGTCTCATCCTTGACTTTACCGAGAATTAAAACCGGGGAGGAGACGGCGCTGCCGATTAGCTCCGCGCCACCGGCGGGGCGCTGCCAAGAGGCGAGCTCTTTCCCGCACCGCCCTCAGACCCGAGGGAACCCGCTGTACTTTTCACCCCAGTGTCGTCCAGCACGATATCCCTTCCGGGAACCGAGGACACTTCAGTCTTCAACCGAAGACGAGCTCGTCGCACCTCGGCGGGCGGCCGGGGACTGCAGAGCGCCTCGGCGGGAGGGCGGCTCCGAGGGGTAGGCAGGTCCCAGGGCCCCCGCCAGGGAGCGCGACCGGTGGGGGGAGGG